TATATATATATATATATATATATATATATATATATATATTAAAAAGATAAGAACGAAATATATATATTAAAGAGATAACCAATATTTCTACAGCGTAATAGATCTATCGTTTACTTGACTTGATTTTGAATTAAATTCTTGCTCAATTCCTAGGAATTGCTTTATTCTAAAATGGTAACTGTTATTCTATTGTTTAACATCACTATTGTGATAAATCTATTTGTGATAAATCTATCCCTAAACGTCATAAAGGAACGTTAGAAACAACGTTAGAAAAAAGACACTATCTCTTCATATCAATGTTTGTTATGTCGCGCTGTTTATTACCTCTATTTCGAAAATCCATACTTCGATCTACGCACTCGAGCCGTGTGATCCGCGTACGTAGAGACGAATCTATGAAGATTCCTTCCGTCGCATCGCGGCGAATTAAGAGCTCTCGTGCCTCATCGAGGCGAGAGACGCGCGAACACGTCCGACGTGGACTATGTGTGTTTACGCGTGCTCGCAGGCACACACGACGTGCGTACGCTTCTCGGATGCGCCGAGTGTCAATTAGCGATGCCGACGGGCGGGTTCCAGCGGGCGTTCGCGCCGGGGCAAGCCGGCACGTTAATTTTAGCGTAATGGATCGATCTAAGAGGAGGATGCGTTTTTAAATAGCCTCATCGAGATGTATCGCGCGCTCGTTATTTCGGAGCAGCCACCACGCGTGTTGCGTTCGAAGCATTTTTCTTAACGCGATCGCACCGACTATACGTATCTGGTATTGTTTTGTCTCGGGGAAGTTTGGCGTGAAATTCGGAGCGATAACTGATATGCAAAAGTATTAAGATTAGGATTGGATTAACACATTCATCGAGCAAAAATAAACCAGTTTTTCGTTGACTTCGGTGATCTCAGCGTTACGATAAGAGTCATAAGATTTTGATATCGCTACTCTCGATAAATACTCAATTAGGAAGGAATTAGCGTTAATGTCTTAGCAATTGGTGTCTTAAATGCTTATGAATATTAAATGTATTCACAATTAATATGCTCGCTATTTTACGTTTGTTTATTTTCAAAGGTGACCTGTCTGCTATGTGCAGTCTTCTCTTCCTTGTGCTTCCCCATTTGTCTCCTGCATTGATTAAGATACACGATAATTGACTGCAATTAGCGACATTGCCGTAGGATGCAACGAAGTCAGTTGAGGGATATCTCGTCCTGGATGACGCGCCTGTTCCCGGAGCCTGGAGACGGTAGTAGTCTGATCGACGGGTTTAAAATGTTCGGCTCGAAAAACAGCTCGCCCACCAGCACATTTTACACCGATCTCGAGATCACGGAAGAGGATAAACAGGAGTTCCACAAGGACGAACATTCCAAGGCACCGTGCTTGTCAGAGCAGCAGAGCGCGACTAGCGAGGATGGAAACTCGCAGGACTCAGATACGGCAACAGGTGCCGATGAGCAACAGTATGTCAGACATTCCTTCCACAGGATCGCCAGTTTCGGCGGCTTCCCGAGATTTCAACCGTTTGTCATGTCCGCTTCCACACCGGCCGAGTGCATTGATATCACGAGGCACGAGGAAACTTCAACAGAAACGTCCTACATTAAGATGTCGCATAGTGTCCTAGAATATAGAAGCAGCAGGTGAGTGCAGATTTGATCGCAGGAAGGACATAGTGTATTCCAGTCTCTGATTAGAAAAGTTCTCATACGCATATTTCCAAATATAAACATAGGTACGTTGCTTCAGAGAGAAGGTCTCATCAATATACATTAGATACGTACGCAGTAAGCGAATCCGAGAGCGAAGAGGAGTCGGAGGAAACGAGGTCTTCAGAGACAGACTCCGCGATAGTAGCAGATCATACGGAAGACATTTCGATATCGGAGTCCAAGCTGCTTCCAAAGAAGAGTTCCCCTGATTCGAAAAGAAAAAAGGCACTGCACGTGGCGCAGGAGTTGCTTGCGACCGAGAAGAATTATGTCAACATTCTGCATCTGATCGATCAAGTGTTCCAATTCAGAGTCGATCAAGAGAATAGAGCACACCCCATGTTTCCTCCAGAGACTGTCCAGCAAATGTTCTCCAATATTAAGTCAATTTATAAGTTTCACAATGATTTCCTATTACCGCAATTCGAGAAGAGAATGCAGTACTGGGATTCGAATCCAAAAATCGGCGATATAATGAAGAACTTCGCACCATTTCTTAAGATGTACACGGAGTATGTGAAGAATTTCGATTACGCTATGAATTTGATAAGTTCATTGCAAAATAAGGTACCCAGATTTGCGGCGATTATTAATGAAATTCAGAAGCTTGATGAGTGCGCTAAATTATCGTTACCTCATCATATGTTGAGTCCGATACAAAGGTTACCGAGATACGAGCTGCTTCTCAAGGATTACTTACGAAATCTCACAGAAGATAACCCAGATTATGAAGATACAAAAAGTGAGCAAGTTTATCTTTTAATACTTATTACAGGATTCTATGCATATTCTATGTATCTACATGAGATTTTCTATTACTAATAATTTAGTAATAGAGAAAGAGAGAGAAATATTAAACTTATTAATAAAAACTAAGATTAATAAAATTTTTATAATCGCATCAATTAATTGAATGTAACATTTTCTTAATACTAAATTTCAGAAGCTCTTGAATTGGTGTCTACCGCTGCGAATCACACGAACGAAGCAATGAAAAAAATCGATAAATTTAAGAAACTCTTGGAAATTCAGGAAAGTATATACGATGCGACTGATCTAGTCAGCGCGACTCGTGAATTAGTAAAAGAAGGACGTATAGTGAAAATTTCCGCGCGCAGTGGTGATCATCAGGAGAGACATTTGTTTTTGGTAATTATTAATTTTGCGACACTACACACACACACACACACACACTCACACACATATACAGGGTGAGTCATTTTAGTCTATGGATCCGAATATCTTCCAAATTACGGTATCTACAAAAAAATGGTTTAGATAAAAGTTGACCAGGACAGAGAGGGTCATTCAATTGTACCATTGGTTTTGACCTTGAGGTCAATTTTGAAGGTTACTTCAAGGTCACGATGGTTTTTTCTAATGGGACACCCTATTTTTGACTGCGGATTTCG